GTGCTGCTATTCTAAAAAAGGCAGATAGGAACTATAACTTCTTTCTGGTGATTGGAGCTAATTTCTTTCTTTTTTTCTGTATTCCATTGTCACCTATTTAATTGGTCTGTTTCAGGCTCGAACATGAGCCAGGATTGATGAACCTAAGGACATGCTGGTGACAAAAGGAAAGCCCGATCAATGAGCTCGGATGTAGAAGTGCCAGGAGATCAGTCCGGACCACTTCCTGCTAGGGAGTGTTCAGAAACAAGTACATGAGCAAAGATTTCAAGCTGTCACAGAAGAACACCCAAGGAGAAACCAGCAGAACCAGACCAATCAGTTTCTGGGAGGATGAATGGAAGCCCTGCCAGTATCCACTTTCCCAGCCGCCTCGAGCCCCCACAACACATCTGGCTCAGGTGAGTCTGGGGCAGTCAGACCTCGCACAGAGAGGCAGTAAAATGTGAGGATGTATAACTGATACATCGCTACTTATAAAGGTTGTCTAATTTTATTTTGTACATCTTAGATCTAAAATTACTTACAAGGTTTTTTGTTATCTCTGATTATATGATATCCTATCAATGAAACTCAAATTGACTTTATTCCTTTCTTTTGGGCAGGAACTGAATGCAATTTTTTCAATCAAAAGCTCCTAAAAGAAGGTAACTCAAAGTGATTTTAGTATTATAACTGATAAATTATATAAAAGTTGTTGCAATTTTATTTTGACAGTTCTGACTGTTAATTCTTTACAGGGTATGTTTTGGATATGAAAAACAAGTTTGAGGCTAATTAAGGTAATTTTTTGTTTGTAATTATAGATAATCTAAACTGTGAAACTCATTTATATTAGATGCTTAATAAAACTGTTTTATTCATATTTAATTGCTATATTGCTGGTGTTTTGTAAAAGTCGAAAGGAACAATAGCCATTACATTTCTTGCAGGCCACATCTCACATATATAAAGTAGTTATAGTTAATTATTAAATTATTATTAAAATCCCTATTTGTGACCCTGATCGCAAACACAAAGAAATCAAACTACAATCAAAGTTGTCACTGGACAAAACAAACACTAGGAAAGCTGCCAAATCAGTTTAGTCTCTATCCAGCAGTGTTGAAAAATAAACTGCATGGATGTTTTATTGAATGATGATGCTGAATTTTATTTTGGTTTTGATTTTGTTTTGGTGTCAGGCAAATAGAAAATAGACCTTGTTTCAGTAGCTATCCATGATCTGTAGCCCTGCTCAGACTCTGATTCTGACAAAGGGTTTAATCTGAGCCCAGCCATACAACAATGATAGCAGTCATACAGGCTTAGTATTATGTATTTGTTTAAACAAATATATGTGGATATTTTTCAACATGCATGTATTTAATCAGTACATAAAGTTCAGGTATTGGTATAGGGAAGGAGTGTGTAACATTTAGGAGGATTTATTGGCAGAAATGGAGTATAATATTCCATAGTGTATTATCAACTGAAAATAAGAAATGTTGTGTTTTCGGGTCGTCTTCTGTGGAGGCTGCCATGTAGGACAAATCAAACACTGGCTGTAGATAAGGCCTTGTCACATTTTTCGGGAGTTTTGCAGCACCATGTTTTCTCCTTGATTTCAAATAGATGCTATCTCCAACGTCACTGCTAGATGCCACTAAATCCTACACACTGGTTGTTAAATAATGTAATAATAACTTCAGTAATACTTCTAATTTTATAAATAATAATTAATAAATATATTCTTGGTATAGTATTGTAGAAAGGGTTGATTTAACTGTTAATTGTTTCAGACTGTTGTTGTTTGTTACTCATTTATTGAGTTCTTGACATCAACCAAAATGGCAGAAACCAAGACTCATTCTGGGTGATCTGAACCTATTTTTTATTTTCTGTTACAGATTCAGGGAGAGGAAGAGAAGGTGAGGATGAAGAATAAACTGTGCTTCTGCAAGCCTTAAGGATGCCACTGATAAGGAAGAGTCTGACACAGATCAACTTACTGGAGAAAATGTCAGAGAGCCTGATTCATCAGGCATTCATCAGGAAAGAAACAAGTTATGTGACTCTGCCAAGGAAAAGCAGTCAACCACCATTCCTGAATAGAAAAGTCCAAAAACATCAGTACATGAGCACGATTCAAATTTGTTACAGGGAGAAACAGACACAGGAAAAGACATAAAGCGAGAAACAGACAAACCAGTTTCTAAAAATGAAAATGAATCAGATAATGTGACTGAGTGTGAAGGGCAGTCAGACAGCTGAAGCAGATCAAGGTTGGGGTGGAGGTCAAACCTCTGAAAATGAGGTCCAGTGTGACTCAAAAGAAGTAGAAGAAGACAACAAGAGTTTGACTGATAAGGGACAGAAGAAAGGTGATTAGGGTTTCATACAATTGGATAAATTAGAAAAAGAAAATGAATTACAGAAGCAGTTGATGGAAGTGAAATTGTTTTAAATACAATGTAGCAGAAAGGAAAAGATCAATACAAAGATAAAGAGTATGGAGGACCACATCCCAGTCCAAAGGAAGACAAATATTTTGTAGGACTGTAGGAAATTTATGATGGAGAAATGGACATGCAGTAACAGTCACTGAGGACAGAAAGCAAAAAATATCAGGTCCGCAGTAGATTGAAAGCAGATGGGAGGTTTATCTGTCTCAGTTGCTTGCTCCTTTTTTTTAAAGCAATAATATAAAAGTTCTCCTAAAAACCAGTGTCCACCCCTGTGGACAAAATGAGTGTTTCCACCGCCTTGTTTCATTGATGTCAAGGGGAAGGGGAGTCCGACCCGGTGGCAGGCATTAAGAATATTTACATAGAAATAGCCATCTTGCTAATATTCACTGATCAGCCACAACATTAAGACCACTGACAGGTGAAGTGAATAACACTGATTACACTGAAGGGCCAAATTGTGATGCTAGACGACTGGGTCAGAGCTTCTTCAAAACTGCAGCTCTTGTGGAGTGTTCACTGGTCTGCAGTGGTCAATACCTATCAAAGGTGGTCCAAGGAAGAAGGAAAAGCGGTGAACCAGAAACAGAGTGATACTGTAGATCAAATTACTGAGAAAGTTATTGCCGGTTCTGACAGAAACATTAAGACCACCAAGGTTCCCAGGTGGTCGTAATGTTGTGGATTATCGGTGTAGTTTGTTTATAAATCATACAGAGGTATCAGTATTAAACAGTTTCATAACCAGTTAAAATCTTCTTGTAATACAAGTAAAATAAAATAATAATTACTTAAAGACTTCCCATGTCTTTTGGTTATACTTCTGATTATCTCATTTTGATTGACAGCTTGGCCACTGATTGGCAAATCTGAAAAACACACAGTAATTGGGGGTGTGGTATAATTACAGTCAACATTTTATCTAATTTAATCTGTTTTCTCTCTTTCACATATGTGTGAAACTGAATTTTTTTACTGTATTCTGCTACAACGTTTTGGTAGGATATCTGAGTTTATTTATTATTTTCAAGTCAGAGTACCAGAAGTTAAACACTAACATTGTTTTTCTCATGCTATGACCTTTGATCTTACACTAAGGTGTAATACAAGTTTATGATAAGCTAATATAAGCAGGTCAGCGACTAATGATTATTTTCATGACTTGTTTATATGCAGATTATTTTCTCAGTTAATCAATGAATAGTCGGATTATTGTTGGGACTACTTCTAAAATTAGACTATGAGCCTAGGTGACCTCTTGAAATGTCTTATTTTGTGCGATCCATCAGTCCAAAACCCAAAGATAATCAGTTTACCATTACTTAAGACAAATAGAACTAAACAAACTCACACTCAAGAAGTGAGTTTGTTAGTTGTAGTAGTAGTTAGTAGTTAGTAGTAGTTAGTAGTAGTTAGTTGTAGTAGTTAGCTTGAAAGGTGACTGACATATATATGT